ATTTTCCAACGAAAAAAATTTCGTCGCAAATTTCCAACGAAAATTGAGATTTTTCGTTGGAAAAATTTGCGACGAAGAATTACCAACGAATTTTTTTTCGTTGGAAAATTCGTTGGAAATTTCCAACGAATTTTTCCCAATTTTTCGTTGGAAATTTCATTGGAAAAAAGATGTTTTTTTTGTAGTGGATGCTACATTTCCGTAATGCAAATAGACTTTTTTTCCTTTCAATTTTACCCTCGCTCAACTTTTATAATTCCAAAAATGTCATCGAAAACCCCAACTTTCTCCTCAGCCACTAACAAGCAACCAACGTGCAGCCAACATGCCACTCATGGGGTCCAAGTGACGTCTCCATACTCCACCATGTCTACTTCTCATTGATGATGTGGATCGAACCATGTTTGCTTATTAAAGAAATATTTATATAAACTGAAACAATCTCCGAGACAGCCGTATGACTATTCAAAAGGTCAAATAGACAGATGTGTTTATTTTAGGAAATTGGAGGACGTGTCTTTGATACATCCGTTATTATATGTTGATGACATGTTGATAAAAGTTAAGAATGTGTCTAATATTGATGTGCTGAAGAGGCAGTTGAATACTAAGTTTGAGATGAAAGATTTAGATGGTGCAAAGAAGATATTGAGTATGGAGATTTTACGTGATAGAATTGCAGGAGTTTTATGTCTATCTTAATATATTGAGAAGATTGTAGGACATTTTAATATGCAATCAGCGAAATCTGTGAATACACCTTTAGCAAAGCATTTAGTTTTCACCACAGACTGAGGAGAAGGATGAGTATATGTCTCGTGTTTCTTATTCAAGTGCAAAAGGTAGTATTATATATGTTATAGTATGCACTAGGCCCGACATTTTACAAGTTGTGAGCGCAGTTAGTTATTACATGAAGAGTCCTAGTAAAGTTCATTAGGAAGTTGTGAAATGGATCATCATATATTTGAAGGGGACAGCAGACGTGAGTATGATGTACAGAAGGGATAGCAATGGTAGTGAGACCACAAAGTATGTGGATTCGGATAACACCGGTGACTTGAATTAATGCAGCTCTTTAGCAGGGTACATGTTTACATTAGCAGGTAGTGCAGTGTGTTGGAAAGCGTCCTTATAGGATCATGTTGCTTTGTCTTCGACTGAGACAAAGTACATGGCACTGACTTTTATAGCGAAGGAGGCGATATGGCCAAAAGGTTTGCTCTCAAACATTGGGTTGGAGCAGAAAAGTGTTAATACACACTATGATAATCAAGGTGCGATATATCTGGCCTATAATTCTATTTTATCACGAGTGAACGCACCATATTGACACCAAATACCATTTCACTCGATATGTCTTAGCGAAGGGTATGGCTGTTGTGAGGCTAATAGCAATAGCGGAGAACTCGACATATATGATGACTACGCCTATTCCTTTGACTAAGCTCAAGCTCTGCTTGAGTTCAATTGGCGGCCGTAAGGAGCGTGTGCCTTTCATGACATTGGGAAAGTAGCATAAATGATAATTACTATGACTTGGTTATAAACGTCGAGCCAATGTGAAGAATTATTAGATTAAGTCTCGAGTTTGTGTTCGTGTATAAGACCCGACGTGATTGAAGGATTTGTTTTTTTTTTTTATTGAAGATAATATCATAGTCCAAGAGCAAAAATTGGACTCCTTTGATTGCCGAAAGATAAATAAGATAGGTAAAGGACTTTATTTGGCGGTCCAAAAGAAGGGCACAAATATTCTATAAATATTTATATAATATTTGTGGGGTCAGCATCTTTAGACTTTAGGTCAGAGGGAGGCAAAAGTAAAAAGCGTGGGTTTTGTTTCTTGCTTCTTGCCTATCGAAGCCGCACAAACAAAAGGGCGTAACAGAGTCTCGGAGACGAGCTTCCTGTTGAAGCCGCAACAAAGGAGTCCTTCGAAAAACTTACAGTTCGAGCCGCACAGTGAAGGACGAAAGTGCTCTCTGTACAACGCTATGTATTTACATTTAAATTGTGTCGTTTATTTCTAAACACCGTGGGTTTAGGCTTAATTTTAAGTATGAGAAATACTCGAGTATATGACCGATTGTAACTCTGATTCGCCGATTATAATGGATTATTTGCTGATGACTCTCCTTGTGGGTTTAAATATTGACAATCGAACCAAACCCTATAAATATATAGTGTCCTTTATCGTTTCTCGTTTATTTTTCTTGTGGTTTCGCATTAACCCCCAATTGCAAGATCTTGCCAATTTCGCGTTAATCTTACAACAGCTTACATGGCATCCAGATGGCAGCTTTGCTCACAAAGAGTTCAGCAAAACCATTTCTTGTAACGAGGAGAAGGCACATCAATTTATCATTGATATATATTAATGTTTCGAGCATATGGGCATGCAAAAGGGGACATAGACGCCGTACGTGGACATAAGATCCCAGAATAGCATGGATTGGTAGCTACTAATAACAGAGTAGAATTAAGAATGCAAAGATTAATTTACTAAGATTAATATGTAAACAAACCAACGGAAGACTCTAAAGTACGTATCAAACAAGTTGGGATACGTACAAATTTTGTCATAAAAGTTTATGTCTCATTTTAAAACTAATTATATACACCAATCTTTGAAAGTGAGTGAAATTGTGCAGACATCAACATTGACCCGTACTTTATCATGTAGATATGCAAGTGGGGACTTTCTTTATGTTCATACAATGCTGGAAACTTGCATTGTGACCATTGAGTTTCTTTTTCAGCATTGATAAAATTAGCTAAATCGTGGGTTATATTTCTAGCTAGAAAGTTAACTCGATGTACTTATTAAATTAATTATACTCTCTATTATGTGAACAGTTAGAAAGCTCTCATTCTGGCTGGCTAGATTAGGGGGAATTAACGGGAACAACCCTACTTTAAAAAGTGTGTATAAAAGGTCCATTTTGCATTCTTGATTTATTTGGTCAGAAGATTGGCACTAGTGTTATGGCAGGTACTATCCATTGTAGCCAGAGTCCTAAACTAATGAAGGATCACATTAATAGTGGAAAATAAAACGACAGGGAAAAAAGTTCGTATAAATTCAATGTTAGATGCTTCAATGTCGTCAAATAATAAGGGATAAGTGCATTAGAAGTCCTAAAACTTGTCACGAAAGTATAATCGAGTTTTAAAACTTTCAAAAAGTGCAATCAAATTTTGGAACTTGTCTCAAAAATGCATTGAAATCCTTAAATTTGTTACGAAAGTACAATTGAATTCTAAAAATTTCAAAAAGTAAAATCAATGGAAGAATTTGATTGGACCAGTTTTACAGGTTTTAAACTTGATTATACTTTTTAAAAGTTTTAAGAATCAATTGCACTTTTTGAAAGTTTTAATATTCAATTATACTTTTTGAAAGTTTTAAGACTCAATTGAGCTTTCATAACATGTTTTAGAACTTCCAATACACTTATACCAATAATAAACAAATGTATCTTTGATATATTCATTACATATGACTGAAATTGATACCTCTAATCCTCTAGCTCAAGGAAACTATTCCCCAAGCCTTAGAGAGAGCCCTAGCAGACGCATCAATGTGTATAGAGATAAAGTCATGTCAAATCACAGCCTAGCTACAAAAGAAAACAGTCACTTAAAGTGGTTTATGCACTACAAATTGGAATTAATTACAATAAATTGGGAAAGATGCAAACAACTTGTTCCATCATGATGGAATTGTGGTCATTCGGAGACCACAGAAAAACCATAGAAAATTAAATTCCAATTCCACTCAAAAAAGAGTAATGCCATTGCATTTCAATGTACTGCCATTTAGTTTAAATTAGTACAACTTGTCAATATTTATTATCCAATTAAATATTTGTGCTTGGACCTATGTTTTATATTGAGAGGTAATGAGAGAGAGAGAGAGAGAGAGAGTCTACACTAGCCCGTCATACCCATATGCAATGGCAGGGGCCACATGCACATATATTGAAGAGCATCTTATTTTAAAATTGTATATGAGTCAACCTATTCGAAGCTTTAATACGTCTTAATCATGTTAAATTTAGTTTTATAGAGCTACATTGGCTGCTTTATGTCGATAATTATGTGCATAAGGAATAGAATGGGCTCTCATTGCACTAGAATCCCATGAACCAATGGGCTCACTTATAAGAATATGATATCAATAATAGAATTCTTCAAATAAAGAAGTGCATACGAAATACTTAATTTATTTGAGCCCATGTCAACTCCCAATAACTCCTCTTTGTCCGTAGTCTCGGGTGGGATAGAAAATGATGAATTTGATACCAGCAAGTTGCCAAATTGTGAATTCAATTTCAAATAATTTTTTGGACCTGCGCATTTTGCTTTTGCAATATTTAACATTGCTTCATCGTCATCGCCAACAAAAATGCACTTTGAGCATATATTTTCATATCTCGAGAAGCCTAGCTAGCCAGTATAATGAGCCACTGCATTTTCATCTTTAATTGGCCAAATTGTTTCGTATACCTAACATTTTCTATTAAGAATAGTGGTCGCATTCCCCCACTATGGGAAGTGGAACCATTATGAATGAGTGACGTTAGGAATACTAAAAATTTACTAAAATTTGTGAACCAAATCAATTGGTCATCAAGACAAGTGGTAATTGGGCTCGTCGTTCTCGCTCAAGATTTGAATTCGAATCACCACATTTGAGCCATTCGATCGTAGCCACCTCCGGGAGCAATAAAGCAGTGTGTCTTTGATAATTATCTGGTGCATATATAAGTAGTGATAATCTGAAATTGTTCCAATTATTCAATTTATAGCGATAGATGGATATCGCGTGAGAAAATATTAAACGTGTTGTGTACTTAAAGTTTATTCTTATTTGGACCCTCTTGAGATAGAATAATCTGCTTTTTCTAATCCTCCTCTCTTGCCTCCCCATCACCATCCAATAATAAAGACCTCCCCACTTGCCTATTCCTCCTAATCATACCAAACAACCGATCCACACCCAATGAAAGGTATGGACCTTCACGATGAGATTTCTTCTCAGTACGCACTCTCACCCCAAGACTCGGGCAGGCTCAAATCCATCATCCAAACCCACCACGCCCTCGGCACGGCAGCAGCGGCCCCGAACATGTGCACGTCCCTCATAGCAAGGCGCATTGGCGCACCGGCCCACGCCGTGTGGCCCTTGGTGCATGACTTCGCGAGTCGTCAGAGGTACAAGCACTTCATCAAGAGCTGCCACATGAGGGAAGGAGACGGCGGGGTCGGGAGCGTGCGTGACGTCGTGGTGATCTCAGGGTTGCCAGCCTCGACGAGCGTGGAGAGACTGGAGGTTCTCGAAGACGAGAGGGGCGTGCTGAGCTTTAGGGTCATCGGAGGTGACCATCGGCTTCACGACTACCGTTCGGTGACCTCGGTGAACGAGGTGACGACGATTGAAGAAGAGAGGAAGGTCGTGACTTTGGTTTTGGAGTCTTACGTTGTGCAAATCCCCCAAGGAAACACTTGTGAAGACGCCAAGTTGTTCGCTGACACTATAGTGAAGTTGAACCTGCAGAAGCTTGAAGAAGTAGTTATGGCTCCTTTGAATAAAGAGAAAATGAAGGAGGACAAGCATGATGGTGATGAAAAGTGCTGATGATGACTCTTGATGATGATGAACGTCCGATTGCGTGAAGAGATTGCTTGTAAATGTAAATGAAGGTGCTGATTGATGCTGCTAATTATGTATGTGAATCGCTGTACGTTACGCGGTAATTATGTGTATTGCGTACCATTTTGAACTCTCTAGTTGCTATGCATTATATAGTAAATTATGTAAATCGGGGTGATGCGTGCCTTCTAGGTTTTTCTTCCTCTTTTTTCTCATATTCTTTTGGGGGTAAATTTGATTTGGTTGTCTTGTTACTTCTCCTAAAATGTTCTCGAGAAAAAGCAGAAACTGAAGCTTTAACATATTGATGAGGTGAATGCAGACGGGCGATATTTATGAACCTAGAAATGATGTTATATATGTCGGATTTAAGGGGATCTTGCTTGGTTGACATTATTGTATCTCTAGTTTGCTATCTTGGCATCTTGCCCATGATCGAGTTTAAATCATACAGGAATTTTAGCAATGGTTACTTAGAATGTTTCGTATCATTTTCTCAATTCAATGTTCAGTTTTTTGTCTTTGTTTCTTTGAATTTTACTTTCTGCAAATCATGATTAGGAATCGAAATGGAGACATTTCTTGCGTCTTTCAGTGTTCGTCAAGCTCGGCTTATTTGGTATATCAAACACCTGATTTTGAAGAAGGTAATTTATCTAAGTTAACCTCCAACAAATATACTTCTCTCTTACTCGTGCACAAAATGTAGTGAGATTGTTAAGTTAGGCTAGCAACTCGGCGGCGGCGGGGTGCGGAGGGAGTGTTAAGTCAAGACCGGCCCACGAGGTATTACATGAGTTTAGGGTTTACCTACTTAAAGTAGACTTAATTACTCTTTGTGTGATGCACGTTTAAATATTTCCTCTGCATATTGAAGGAAAGCATCAAGAGAAGGCTATATCTTCCTTCATTTCTAGTTAAGGAAACTCTCTCCAAGCGGTTAAGTTTGCATGTGGGTGTCTACATAATGTCCATAGCTGGTAATCCACCAATTAGATGAGAAAGAATGACGGAGGAAAACACAGACTTTTGTAAATAACATTTGTTGCGATTTTTCTCGATAGGAATTATTGGCGAATATAAATGAATCCAATTAAAAATCGAGAAATGAAAAAATAATTGAGCATCTTATGCCAAAAACACAAAATGCATGTTAATCGCGATGTATTGCAGTAAAAGGAAGAGGAGGTTCTACACATAGTGACCGAGCAAGTATGCACAGTAGGATGACGTTTGTTTTAATTTTCATTTTTAAATAAGCAAATAATGTCGTTTTGACATCCTTGGAAGAGAAGATAAGCATGTGTCAAGTTACGGGCAAAGTTTATATGTTTTTGACTAGCAATGAACATTCTTTAGTTAGATCCACACTAACTATAAGCTATTCACATTGCCCAAACAACCTTTGCTTTCATTCAATTTGCCAGTAAAAAAAATGAAATAAAATTTTCAACAAGATTTTCATGTATAGCCTTTCCAAAATCTTGTTATTTCGCTGTGTGGCATCCTCCAATATGGGCGATAAGAACTTGGAAAAGATTGAAGTGTAAACTTTATGGGCCAAGGGCTTTGTGATGAGCAAGCCATGCTTCTTGGGTTTCAGGCTCCCATTGTCTCTCCTATATGTCTTGTTCAGCAAACAGGAAACTCAGATTTGAAAATGAGTGCACTGATTCAGATGCCTCGCGAACTTGGTTTGGCTTCTTTTCTTCTCTCTTTCTTTTCAAAGCCCTACTTTTTCTATAATGTCTTGGATGGAGACTGATACAGCCCCGTTAGTTTATCCGAAAATCGACGATCAGAAAGTTATTTTCCTAATCTTGATCATTTCTTATGGCTTAGTGTAAGCCGTCGAAACTAGAAAAATCACCATTCGAATTATGGATTTTTGACAAAACAAACGGAGTCCATGTCGTGTAAAATTCCAAACGCTGAAATTCACTTCCACGGTCCTTACCACCACCGGCTCGCCGATGGCTGAGCTCGAGTCATTAGCTCAGTGGTCTCACTCAAGCCCTTTAGAGACTGTAGTCGAATCGTACATGGGGGACTTAGGTCAAGCGAGGCCGATTTGATTCTCGATAACTACGATTGTGTCGCCCACCGGCTAGATCTTGGTCTAAGTTTGCCCTAGAAGATCACACGCGGGTGCTCAGCAAACAAACCTATGTTCCCATTGACGAGATCCTACGTCTCCGACGGCCAAAATCAATTTCCAATGGTTGGTGACTCGACCGACCAACCGTGGCTCTCAATAGTTGAAAAACGGTCTCGAGCAAATGGACCTGGGTCCCAACGATTGTTCCATGTAAAAGCATGCCAAAACTTTTAAATCTCAACATTCGAATAAAAGAGGAGAGCAATATTTTCCTCCAACCCTGATTGAATGGAATTCCCGTCAACGATTCTTTTTATTGGATACTATCCGCATGCATATTTTATCAAATTTAAATGCGAACAATACTCATATCTATAACCCACCAATCATAAGTATGAGTAGAGGAAGTTTCCTTCCTCCCTTCGTCATAAGAAAACAATGGCCCCGAAAGAAAATAGATTGTGATTAAAATGAAAAAAGGGTTTCGACTCGGAAATAATTAATTAAAGTTTCTGCGAACGATTGATAAACATGCTCGAGAAAATTAGTGAAAAATCCTCTCATCCGTCTTAGCAGGTTGTAAAGTTTGACTTGAGATTGTGCAACAAACATATGATAATATACTCGTTGACGTGCCCCAATTGGGCCCCTTGGAAAACCGATGGAAACGATACGAACAAGCATCGATGGGATAAGAACACTAGGAATGCCATAACTTTCGTACGGCGTTCACTTGAATTCTATAACTTTTTTTTCGCTTACCTGAGTGCCACAAATTTGAAAAAACGATCACTTAATTGCCATCGGCGATTGACCTTGCCGAAAAATCCGATGTAGACGTCGGTTGTCCTACGTGGCATCACCGGCGTTGACGTGGATAATTAATTTAAAAAATTCAAAAATAAAAAGAATCCACGTCGGGATGGAAAATTAATAAAAAAAAAATCCATGCAGGACAATTTGCCGGGAATGGCACTTAAATGATCGATTTTACTCCGATTTGGTACTCAAGTGGGTGCCGTACGAAAGTTATGCCACTCCTGCTGTCCTTATCCAAAACATTTTTATTTATAAGCAAAAAGTTTGGGAAGGGCCAATCAATGTAATTCCTTTTGAACTTGACCATAAAAGTCCCACGTAGACAAATACCTTATATTAATTAATTCTTTATATAACATATTAATAGAAGTAGGCACCATATTTATAAATACCACGAAAAACCCTAAACTGGTACAGTTGTGATAATTTTACCCCAAACTATTTTTTGACCACAAAAAACCCCAAACTGGTACACTTATGACAAATTTACCCCGAACTATTTTTTTGACCACCAAAAACCCCAAACTGGTATACTTGTGACAATTTTACCCCAACTAATTTTTTAATATTATTTTTTATTTTTTTGAATTTTTTTATTAATTTTTTTATTTTTTCTTTTCTTTTTTTCCTTAATCTTCTTCATCTTCAATTTCTGGCCGGTTGCCGTTCCGGCGACCAGCCAGAGGCAGAAGCCGGCGAGGTCGGCCCCGCCGGCCCTGGCGAGGCTCGACCTCACCGGCGCTGGGCGAGCCGACCTCGCCGTTGCAAGGTGAGGCCGACCTCGCTAGCGGCCGGCGGGACCGAGCCCTACCTGCAACAGCAAGGTCGGTCGGCCTCGCCCTGCAACAGCGAGGTTGAGCCTCGCTAGCAACCGACTAGGCCAAGCCCTTGCCAGATCTGGCGAGACTCAACCTTGCCGGCCGCTAGCGAGGTTGGCCTCGCCCTGCAACGGCGAGGTTGACCTCGCCCAGCGCTGGCAAGGTTGAGCCTCGCCAACAGCCAGCGGGTCCGAGCCCTCACCAGATCGGCCTTGCCCAGCAACGGTGAGGTCGGCCTCACCCAACGCCGGTGAGGTCGAGCCTCACCAGCGGCCAGCAGCGCCGAGCCCTCGCCAGATCTGGTGAGGTTTGACCTTGCCGGCGCTAGGCAAGGTCGAGCCTCGCTAGATCTGGCAAGGGGTCAGCCCCGCCGGCGAGCCCTCGCCAACGGCCGGCGAGGTTGAGCATCACTAGGGGCCGACGGGGCCGACCTCGCCGGCTTCTGCCCCGGCGACCGGCCAGAAATTGAAGATGAAGAAGATTAAGGAAAAAAAATTAATTAAATTAAATTAATAAAAAAATTCGAAAAATAAAAAATAATATTAAAAAATTAGTTAGGGTAAAATTGTCACAAGTATACCAGTTCGGGATTTTTGGTAGTCAAAAAATAGTTCGGAGTAAAATTGTCACAAGTGTACCAGTTCAGGATTTTTGGTGGTCAAAAAAATAGTTCGGGGTAAATTTATTACAAGTGTACCAGTTTGGAGTTTTTGTGGTCAAAAAAATAGTTTGGGGTAAAATTGTCACAACTATACTAGTTTAGGGTTTTTCATGATATTAACCCTATTTATAAAACTAGGTACTTCTCATGATGAGGCCCATTACATAGAAAATCCAAAATATTATAAATTTAATTTTCAAAAAAGTTCGAAATTAAAATATCATCAAAACAATTATTATGTACTAATACATAAGTAGTATTAATTATAAATTATGTAATTCGACTCTCCTTTTTCTCAACCACTGTGTGACCCTTGATTCTAGAAACCCATCAAATTTTCTCATTATTTTACTCGTATCAACTCAAATATAATTAAGTAGGTTAGGTTTAACATTTAAATGAATAATTATGTGAAAAGAATAAACTCACAAAAGCCTTTTTCCATCCATTTTTTGACTTTCTACGTCCTCTATTACCTTAAACTAACCATGATATCTCTTGCAAGTCCGGATTTAATATTATTTCTTACCTTTCTTTTCTTTTCTTTCTTTGGAAATTTTGATGCATTTAGAATTGACAAAAAATATGTATTTGCCAATGGTTTGATTGGATTGTCTTAGAATACAATTACAATTATCATAATTTTCTTATCAATAACTATTTATTCCACTTAATGAGCCATGCTTTTAAGTTTTGTCAATGTAGTTATAAACTTTTGAGCAATTTTTCAATGTAGTCTTTCCCGCTAATTGCCACAAAAAATCGTTGACGTGACGTTAGTCATGGCCGGCCATCCTAAGTGGAAAGTTAGGATGGCAATTTGTTGTTTTCCACGTCGCAATTTGCAACGGCAATTGACAAGAAAGGCTGCGTTTAAATACCGTGCAAATGTATAGGACTATATTGACAAAATTGAAAAGTTAAAACTGAATTGATATCCATACAATAGGTTTAGGACTAAATTGATAATTTTCCCAAATATTTAAATAATCACTACTTCAATGGACATATGTATAAGCATTTTTGGGATAAGTACACTAAGAGTGCCATAACTTTTGTACGGCGTTCATTTGAGTATCACAAATTTAAAAAATCGATCACTTAAGTGTCATCGGCAATTTGCCTCGCTAGAAAATCCAACGTGGCATCGCCGGCGTTGACGTCGACAATTAATAAAAAAATAAAAAATAAAAAAATCCACGTCGACATGGGAAATTAATAAAAAAATCCACATATGAGGGTTTGCCGGAAATAGCACTCAAATGATCGATTTTACTTCAATGTGGCACTTAAGTGAGCGAAAAAAATATTATGGCCCTCAATTGAGTGCCATACGAAAGTTATGGTACTTCTACTGTTGTCCAGAAGTTACAGTTCATTTATGGAAGTATGCTCACATTCGTTTCGGATGTATTGTCGGGTTGGGATTTCAGCTGATTAGCTAGCGAAAATTTGAAAATTGCGGGTTTCCACAAGAGCCTTGGGAAGTTCATGTCTTAGCACATCTTCCTTAAGAGATGGCATATTATATCTAGAATGTTAAGCTTGTCATTTTATTTTTCTTCCATGATTCAGCATATGAGGGGGTAGATTCTCGGCAGAGGCTTTGCAGCTTTGGCTATTTTTTGCTGCATCTTTGTGTATTGGTTTTAGCAATCTTATGTATTGTGAACATAATTGTTTGGTTACTGGAGTTTCATTACCATTCTGAAGAAAGAATGAATTGAGAGTTCTTTCCCCTTTGCCAACGGAGCAATCACTCATTACTATTACCATATATATACAATATATATGTATAAATACTTGCCATTAATTTGATATTTTGTTGGCAATGAGAATTTTTTACGCAGTATCAAAATTGACTTGCTTTTTCTATTTATGTTTCCATTTGTGTAAGGTTAAGGATAAATTGCCAATGCATATCTCTTTTCGATTACCAAATCTTTAACATTTCCTTTCACATGCAGAAGCCTAATCCATACTTGCCAAAAGAAGAATCATCTTCTTCCTTGTGGAAACGGTGATCCACGGCATGCTATTAATGATGATTACTAGGATTCAGGTTTAAGGTCTACCAAACCAACCATTTGGAAAGATGCATTCATGGACTTACCATTGCCATTGTAGAACCGACCAGAGTGTTTTTTGAAAATGTTCTTCCTTATATACATATATATCATATGTTGCTACAGAGTTGTTAGGTTTGAGGTCTACGAAACTAATTATTTGGAAGGATGCATTGCGGCAAACGTCCACGAATGCATCCTTCCAAAGAATTGGTTTCGATGATAAGTATTATCAATATCATAAGTGATGGGCGTACTCGAGCAAGAATCCTGTTATAAACAAAGTTACAGGTTTCAATAAGCCTAAATGAGCGGTAAAAACCATTGAGGTTATTCCTAAACTCTACATGTTGCTATTTCACTTTTTTTTTCTCTCTTTTAAATATATTTTTTTTGCTAAGATAATGTATGAGAACTTATTGCAGAGTTATGACACCAGTGAAGTGATCGACTGTATTGACATCTTCAGGTTAATGTGTGGAATCCAACATATGTGTCCAGAATTAAGTCCAGATTTAAGTCTCTCAAATTTGGCCCATCAACCCCCCACCCCCTAGGAATTTTACACTATGGAGGCCGGATAAAAAGTAAGAACTTCGAATGATCTAATCCGAATATTTTAGCATAATTTGCATTCTAAGTTTTTCCTATAGGTTGGTACAGGTACCACTCCCAGCAATGAGGCAAGAATTTCATATATTGGTCGCGAGTTATTAACTCTTTTAAGCTCTTACAATTCACCAAACTTTCACAAACATATCAAACATTGGTGTGCTTTTCTTGGGTGGACTTTAGAGTGATGGCTATGAGAACACTAGCTGATACGGTCTCGAATGCCCTGGATTCGTACAAACAGATAACAAGATTGATTGCGGTGCTTTGATTCTGCCAGTTTCCATATATGGTGGATAGCAATATAACATAACTATAGACATAAGGAAGGTAATGGAACAATCTATTAGGTAAATATATATGGGATATTTTCGAGTCTTCTGTCTTTTAACAAAAATATTTCAGAATGTTCTTGGACATTGGTGGCCGCGTATTGGGGATATGGATGAAGGATACTTGCCCGGAGAAATCTTCACTACTCTAGGTGGCTGCGCCTGATGTAATTAGTTTGGGCGGGGAGATAGTTCATAGAGAAATGGATGGTCATCGCACGTCAACTCAAATGGGGAGCAGTCATTTTCCCTGTGGAGGATTTGAAAAGGCGCCCTTTTTTCCGAAATCTTAAACTCATCAACGATGACAAAGACAATCAAAGGCTACTAATGTGTATATTGATGGAGTAGTACGAGATGATATACACACAAGTTACAATGCAGATGATGTCACAATTAGCATTGAATGTGATCCTGAGTGCTCTGTCACAATCAGGAATGCTATGCCGATATGAAAGGATCATTGCCAATATCTAAGGTTAACAAGGTATTGGGTGTCGAGATGTCAACATGCTAGAAGGATTTCTACATAGGTGAACAAGCTGGGAGAGACCTTGATTGAAGGAGAATAAGCCGAGAAGAATAAGGATGTTCGTAATGGATTGGAATGACTAAAATAAGGTGAACAGTCGGATAGACCTTGGTGATGGGGAACAAGCCTAAAACTGTGATATTCGTTGAGGTAGGTATAATGAAGAATGTTTCTTGTGTGGGCATGATTTGCTATTGAACTGGAGATTGTAGTCATTAATGCTTTTCTGCACACGCAAGCAATGCTCAAGATTGGCATGATCTCAATTCCCAAAGAAGGCTTTCAGATATCCATGGTTTGATTTAATTTCCTTCAACAAATGAAGTTAACTTCCATACAAGAGTATCGCCATATCTTGTCTGATTTCTTATCCTTTTAATCAATTTTACATCTAATAGTTAATTATTTGTAGTAAATGTAATAATTAAGTAGAGACTACACCTTGTCCATAGTGAAGGCTTCTACTTATGGCAAAACAAGGAGCTGTAATCGAAAAATGTGATTATGGTCAAATACTCTCTTTTCAAAATGGTTACCAGTTCATAAGTGACTTTAACAACATTAAGTACATTAAACCACCTAGCAGTACTTCACAAGCACTGGTGTACTCACTGTTAAACACTTGATAAAGCCATTTCTATTAGGATACGAAAAAAGGAAAGCATGTTATCATATGTGCACTAATTTGCACACTGAGCTGAAAATCCGGAGCCCCCAAAAAAGAAATGGACTCCAAATGGATTTGGCGGATCCACCTTGAGCAGTAAGTCATAGCATTCAGGTCTTGTTACATACTTCTTGAGATTCTTGGCGTCTCTCTCAATGGATCCGTCATCGACAAATTTAAGATTGCGGAAAAAGGCCGCCTTTCCAAAACCTTCAGAAGGGAAATGGCCGCTCCCCATTTCCGTTGACGTATGCAGACCATGCCGTTCACTGTTGACTATCTCTCCGCCCCATCTAATTACATCGGCACTGCCACCTAGTGTAGTGAAGATTTCTCCGGGCCAGTATCCTACCTCCACGTCCGCAACGCGCAGCCACCAACGCCCAAGGACATCATTCTGAAATATTTTTGTTAAAAGACGGAAGACTCGAAAATATCCCATGTATATGTACCTAAAAGATTATTCCATTACCTTTGTTATGCCTATAGTTATGTCATATTGCTGTCCACCATAGGTGGAAACCGGTAGAATCCGAGAACCTAAAGCAATCTTGCTACTTGTTTGTACAAATCCAGGGCATTCGAGATTGTAGCATCCGGTTTGCTGATAGCCATCACTCTAAAGTCCACCCAAGAAAAGCATGTTAAGGTTTGATATGTTTGTGAAAGTTTGGTGAATTGTAAGCGACCAAAAGAGTTAAGAACTCACTGTCCAATATATGAAAAGCTCTGACTGGTTGCTAGTACTTGGATCTGTATTAATCTATAATAAAAACACAAACCACTTATCTTATAAATCTACACACATTTAGAATGCCAATTATGCTAACATCTTCAGATTCTATCATTCTAAGTTCGCGACAAATACAACATAAGTGCCATAACTTTCCTACAGTGCTTACTTGAGTGTCATAAACTTTTTTTTTTCTCACTTAAGTCTCATATCAAAGTAAAATCGATCATTTGAGTGTTATTTTCGGCAAATCATCCTATGCAGATTTTCTAATTTATTTTCCATCCGACGTGGTTTTTTAAATGTTATTTTTATTTTTGTTTTTGTTCTTTGATTTTTTGAATTTTTCTTCGTCTTTTCTTTTTTTTTTTCAGGGCCACTGAGGCCGCCGATGACCCTTGCAGCAAACAAAAAGGAAAAGGAAAATAAAAAAAAAATTCAAATAAAAATATTTAAAAATATAAAAGTATTAAAAAATTATCCATGTCAGTGCCGGCAAAGTCACGTAGAATGACCGGCATCCACATCGGATTTTCCGGCGAGGCAAATCGCTAATGGTATTCAAATAATCGATTTCTCAAATTTGTGGCATTCAAGTGAGCGTCGTATGAGAGTTATGGCACTCTTAGTGTATTTATCCCTTCTAAGTTCTTACCATCCATCCTGCCTCCACAGTGTTCAAATTCTCTTTGGGACCTGACGTGAGCCGAATTTGAGAGAAACTCGCTTCTCGATGCATTACTGAAGGATTCCACACATTAATTTTTGCATTAGCTCCCCTGTAGTTGCCACCGATCATAGATACTTGAGCATACTGACCAATACACAACAAACTCATAAGAAGTGAAACTTAAGGATCAATGCATAAGCAAAATCACAACTCAAAATCAATGCCACAATAGTCATATCGTGATGTATTTGCACATACTTCATGTCCACGCGGTGGAGTGATGATGTTCTCGCTCAGATTGAGTCGCTTCATGTGTGGAGTCAACGGTATAACATGTCGATTGGTATGGTTTTGTGGTCTTCTGATGGGGATCGTTCTTTCAGGGCATTCACCATATTTCCACCAAGCTTGATTGAGCGCACCTTCCACATATCCCGCTCCATTCCCTTTCCGATTTGAGCTTGGTTTAATCTATTCATAAACGTGCCAGCTTCAGTGATTGTTACAACAATACATCCTTCATAGACCAACCCGAATTTCTTAGACATCCTGCAATATTGAAACAGCTTTCTCCTACAACTGCTCAATGATGACCCTCATCATTAAGGTACTTATACTGTCATCACTGCACTTAATCATTTCTACTGCTAAGTGCAAATTTTTCATGGGAGGCACAGGACATCGATGCAAGTTACAGGTCAAAAAATGAGGGGACAAAAACCTGTATGGTATGACTCTTGAGAAGCGGATGATCAAAAGCGGGTTGCTTGAAGATGTCAACACAATCGATCACTTCACCAGTTTCATAACTCTGCACCAGTTTCTCATACATGATGTTAGCAAAAAGAACGTATTCAAAAGGAAAAAAAAAGGTGAAATAGCAACAGGTAGAGTTTAAGAACTACCTCAATGGATTTTACTACTCCTTTAGGTTTATCGAAACCTGTAACTTTGTTTGATATAAGAATTCTCGCTCGAGCACGCCCATCGCCTATCATACTGATAATACTTATTATCAAAACCAACCATTTGAAAAGATGCATTCGTGGACTTAGCATTGCCATTGTAGAATAGACTGGAGTATTTTTGAAAATGAGACAAGACAATGTTCTTCTTTTATATGCACATAAATCACATCCCCTTGGTAGACCTCAAACCTGAATCCTATTAATCATCATTAATAGCCTATCGTGGATACCCGTTTCCACAAAGGAAGAAAATTATTCTTCTTTTGGCAAGCATGGATCGAGTTTTTATACTTGAAAGGAAATGTTGAAGATTTAGTAATCAAAAAGGGATATGCATCAACGATTTATATATCATTTTCCTTCCACATATGGAAACATAAAGAGAAAAAATGGGTAAATTTTCATTCGTGTAAAAAATTCTTATGTTGGAGTGGCCATCAAATTGTCACATTGATGGCAAGTATAAATACATATACAAATTTATAATAAATATGGTTATGGTAATGAGTGAAATTGCTTCGGTGGCAGGGGCATAGAACTCTCAAATCACATCCCCATGGTAGACCTCAAACCTGAATCCTATTAATCATCATTGATAGCCTACCGTGGATACCCGTTTCCACAAAGGAAGAAAATTATTCTTCTTTTGGCAAGCATTGATCGAGTTTTTATACTTGAAAGGAAATGTTGAAGATTTAGTAATAAAAAAGGGATATGCATCAACGATTTATCATTTTCCTTCCACATATGGAAACATAAAGAGGAAAAATGGGTAAATTTTCATTCGTGTAAAAAATTCTTATTTTGGAGTGGCCATCAAATTGTCACATTGATGGCAAGTATAAATACATATACAAATTTATAATAAATATGGTTATGGTAATGAGTGAAATTGCTTCGGTGGCAGGGGCATAGAACTCTCAAATCACATCCCCATGGTAGACCTCAAACCTGAATCCTATTAATCATCATTGATAGCCTACCGTGGATACCCGTTTCCACAAAGGAAGAAAATTATTCTTCTTTTGGCAAGCATGGATCGAGTTTTTATACTTGAAAGGAAATGTTGAAGATTTAGTAATCAAAAAGGGATATGCATCAACGATTTATATATCATTTTCCTTCCACATATGGAAACATAAAGAGAAAAAATGGGTAAATTTTCATTCGTGTAAAAAATTATTATTTTGGAGTGGCCATCAAATTGTCACATTGATGGCAAGTATAAATACATATACAAATTTATAATAAATATGGTTATGGTAATGAGTGAAATTGCTTCGGTGGCAGGGGCATAGAACTCTCAAATCACATCCCCATGGTAGACCTCAAACCTGAATCCTATTAATCATCATTGACAGCCTACCGTGGATACCCGTTTCCACAAAGGAAGAAAATTATTCTTCTTTTGGCAAGCATGGATTGAGTTTTTATACTTGAAAGGAAATGTTGAAGATTTAGTAATCAAAAAGGGATATGCATCAACGATTTATCATTTTCCTTCCACATATGGAAACATAAAGAGAAAAAATGGGTAAATTTCCATTCGTGTAAAAAATTCTTATTTTGGAGTGGCCATCAAATTGTCACATTGATGGCAAGTATAAATACATATACAAATTTATAATATATATGGTTATGGTAATGAGTGAAATTGCTTCGGTGGCAGGGGCATAGAACTCTCAATTCCTTCTTTTTTCAGAAATGGTAATGAAACTCCAGTATCCAAAATATTATGTTAACAATACATAAAATTGCCAAAATCAATACACAAAGATGCAACCAAAAATAGCCAAAGTTGCAAAACCTCTGCTAAGAATGCACCCCCCTCATATATTGAAACATGGAAGAAAAATAAAATGACAAGTTAACTTTCCGGACAAAATATGCCATCTCTAAAGGGAGATGTGCTAAGACATGAACTTGCCAAGGCTCTCGTGGAAACTTGCAACTGATTTTCAAATTATTACTAGCTCATAAGCTGAAATCCCATCCTGACAATGCATCCGAAACCAATGTGATCGTACTCCCAAAAATGAACAGTAACTTTCGGACACCATTTCAAAACTATCTGGACATATGTTCGCACCTAGGAGGTCTGTTCTATGGCTTAGCCGCTATTTGCTGCTTCAAACACTGAGCTGAAAACCAATACCACCATAAAAGTAATTGGCCCCGTATGGAGGAGTCTTACCCATGATCTGCAAATCATAGCAGTCGGGGTTCGTCGTCATCCTTACGGCATCATCTGCATCCCTGTTCATCAAATTGGCATCGGCATATTGAAGGTCGTGGAAATAGGACGATTTCTCGAATCCTTTGTAAGGAAAGTGGCCCTCCCCATTTGTGTTGTTCGTATGATGAGGATTAGTTTCCATGTTGACTATCTCTCTTCCCCCAAGCTACCCCATCTGCACTTGTGCTTAAAGAAATAAATATTTCTTTGGGCCAATATCCTTTGTCGATGTTCGCCGATTGAAGCAACCAATGTCCAGTAACTAGATCGTGGGACATATAGTAAAAAGACAAATATACTCAGTCTATGCACGTTTGCATCTCCCAAATATAGTTAAATTACGCCTTTTGATTTCCTTATAACTGAAAGCTGAAAACTAGACGAGAAACACAAAAGAGCCTATCATTTTCGTAAATGGACAATTTTCATTACCTAGGTTAGAGACATATAAACATCATATTAATTCTCGTTAGCAGCTATATACAGGAAAAATTATCTAAAAAGTTATAAACCTATTGTACTTTTGTTAATTCAATCCTAAATTTTTTAATTTTGCCAATTGATTTCTAAACCTTTTTACATTTTGCCAATTGAGTCCATCCAGCCAATTTAGGTTGAAAATCATTGACATTAATTGCGGTCGTCCTACATGGCACAGTGGCACTGACGTTGACAATTTTTAATAATATTTTTGCGAATTTTTTTCCCTTTTTTCTTGGCATTTTTTTGTTTTTTTTCTATGCCGGCAAGGGTCACCAGTGACCCTCGCCCACTGTCAGGGAGGCCTTCACGGCCCTCACCAAATTTGGGTGAGGGCTACGGCCCTAAGCGAGGTCCCTTGTGGCCCAGCCGCCATAAGCGAGGTAGCCCTCATCTAAATCTAGCGAGGGCCTTTGCGTCCTTGCCTGCGGCCGGTGAGGGCTTCGTAGTTCCGCCAGCCGCGAGCAAAGGCGTGATGTCACACCCCGAACCCCATCGAGCTCGCGACATCCCGCACCTCCGGTCGATTAATTGCGACGTCCCAGGAACATCGCCGACCCAACCCGAACATCAGAAACACATGCGGAAGCAAATATAAAACCCCTGACTATAAAGACGACGATGGGGTAGATCACCAAGACAATCAACAACAACGATCATTACACCAAGCATACAAACATCATAATACAAACAAACTTAACCGACGGGCATTCACAACCACCGATATAACAAAAGGATCTGGTGGCTTGGTTAACTTAACTGCACTATAGGTCGACCCAACTATCAAAAAGGTTCTGGTCAGACCTATTCTACGCAACCCCTAAAATATCCTAGGGGAAACCTACTGGTCAACCTCCTCCGCTCTGCTTCAGCATCCTCTGGCTCGAGCCCCCGGAAGGTCACCTGGACCAAGATACTGGAAATCGCCTGTAGCTCCACTGGGGCTCTATGGTCAGCTCTTCATACTCCAAAAACGGGGAGGCGGGTCTCCAGGGCTTAAGACTGGGGGTCTGAAAGTGGTGGTTATACAACTATGAGACGAATCTCAATAAGTGCACAACCCCAAACCCCACATAGGCTCTCACATACTGCCAGACGAAACATGCATAACACCCAACGATCAACCATACTAACAAACACATACGATCCTACCTGGAACCCATCATGCACGTCCCTGCATGTTAGATAACCACACAGCCAACATGTCACAGTAAAGCATCACAACCGCGCACGTACCTCGATTATAAGGCAAAACCCACTCTGGCTCGTCCCATACCATGCCGAGCAGTTTTTACCCCATAATCGTGCACTACATCACGCCATGCGTCCGCTTCCACAATCCTCACTTGTCAAGCCAAGTCCAACTCATTCCCAACTTTTCCACCACTACCGCGCCCGCGTAAAACGCATCAGGCCAACGGTCTTCTGACTTCTTCAGGCATCGTCACCCCGTCGGGCCTGGCATCGTCACCTCGTCAGGGACGACATCGTCCCGCGTAAACGAACACTCCTCAGGACGGATCCTACCTTTTCACTTCCTTCTTTACCGCGCCAGCGTAAAACGCATCAGGCCAACGGTCTTCTAACCTCGTCAGGTATCGACACCCCGTCGGGCCGGGCATCGTCACCTCATCAGGGACGGCATCGTCCCGCGTAAACGAACATGCCTCAGGACGGATCCTTTCCAACCAATCCTACATTCCCGTATCTTCGTACCACACATTCCACACGTACCACACGGTCACACACAATTTCACATCTCACATACACTTCACCAATACACGTCCTCGTCACACGAACACACCACCCGAACACACATGCTTGGCACGCACGGCCACACATACACGGCACACAACCACACATAATCAGCCCACAACACGTTTCCAAATCAGCCAACAATCATCCGTCACACAATCGCATATACGAGCTTATCCAAGGCGGGAAACTATCAATCAAACACGCAATTAAACCCCGATCGATCCACATCATCACAGCCCTATCCGAGCCTACCAAACCACACATTTACCATCACCAAATCAACCCACAAAAAATAAACATCCAGTCCCGCTCCAAGTCCCAAAACAGCCACACAAATCACCTAAACCGAGCCCTAAACGAGTCTAGCAATACCCGAGGTCTTAGGTAACATTTGGGGAAATCACTTACTCTAGAAAAGCGAGACAAACGGGCTAAACAGAGGCTGGGATGGCCGGAACAGAAGCAGCAGTCGAGCAGCAGCAGCAGCGGCGCCGGCGGCCTAGCGGGCGAGCGGCTGCACCACCGTGGACGGGCGGCGGGCGGGCGGGCGGCGAACGGGCGGCTGGGCGCGGCGATCTGGTCGTATGGACCAAGGGAAGATGGCCAGGGGTGGCTCGGTGCTGGCAGGGCTGAACAGGACAGGTGAACGGGGAGAGAGAGAAGGAACAGCGAGCGGTTAGGCGGGGCCGGGAGGAGGAGGCGGCGGCGCGGACGGCTGGGCTGGGCGACGACCAGGCGGCGGCGAGCTGGTGGCCGGCCAAGGAGGGGCTCACGCACAGGGAGAGGAGAGAGAGTGCCGATCGGTGGAGGGTGAGGAGAGAGAATGAGAGAGAGAAAGAGAGAGAAATAGATTTTTATAATCTAACCCCAATAATTGCACTCCGAAAATTACCAAAATACCCTCTTAACTACCCTCCGATCCAATGGCCAATAATTGATCTTATCCAAATCCGACGGCCCACAATCATCCTTATTCAATAATTCAAAGGGCAAAAGAGTAATTATCCAAAAAGGGAGAGGGGCATTCTTGACCTCTTATTTTCGGCCACACAGGGTCATTCTCAGTCCCCCGACTTAATCCAGTCCTTAAAATTCGTTCGCGGTCCCAGGGGCAAAACGGTCATTTTTCCGGTCCCGGACAGAAATTCAGTTTTTTACAGAAATTGGTGGCCCCAAGGTTGGCCACACCAAAAACGCCATCGGCCGCTAAAAATGGTCACTTTCAAAATTCTCGATTCCCGGGTCCGAATTCCAAGAAATGACTAGAATCGAACAATCGCGACTTTAGCTTATCTCTTGCTAACGGGTGGCTCGTCGGGATTACTCGCTCTTGACCCGTGACCGACACTAAGTCAAATCACGTTTAAGTTTGCTCGAACCAAGGCGACCTCGATTGTCATATAATTGCGAGAGTCTGTCACTAGTTCTCTGTAGACACGATCAATCAAATAGATCGCTCTCTATTGGCCCAAAACATTCCCTCGTCAACCCTTATGGTCGAAGGTCGAACCAAGGTCGAGTTCTTTGGTCGTGCGAACTCAATCCCGTAATGGCCTTACCCCTAAGGTTAGCATCCCAAGAATGCGCGGTTCTGGGTGAGATCTCACTATAAGTGCATTGGCCAATTATTCATTCCATAAATCCTGGGAAAATGATCGAAAATTCAGAATGTTACACGTGACCAATGAGACGTCGATGGCCTCGCTTAGGGCCTCATGGCCTCGTCAACCATGGCGAGGGCTGCCTCGAGGCCTGCGCAGCTACCCACACCGACATAGAAAAAAAACACAAAATAAAGCTTTATTTGTTTCACGAAAAACATTTCCAGGTTTTCCGGCGTTCATTTCACGGAAAATATACTAACCATGGATAACATTTTCCCTCAATGGACAAAACATCTTCAAAAATTAAGAAAATGTTTTCCACTTTTTGAAAAGAGGAAAACATTTTCCCTCTCCTTCTTTCATCATTCATTATAATTATTTTTATTTTCTTTTTCTAAAATTCTAATTTTTTATTCTTTTTCTTTTTCTTTTTCTTTTTCTTTTTCTTTCTTCTTCTCCGGCCGATCGCCGGCCGCCGCCATGGCTAGCAACCGGCCGAGGAAGAAGAAGAAGGAGGAAAAGAAAAAGAAAATAAAAAATATTTTTAAAAAATAAAAAATTATTAAAAGTAGTGCAAGGAGGAAAATCTTTTTCATACCGAACAACGAAAAATATTTTTTGAGATTTTTTCAGATTTCAACCGAACACCGGAAAACTGTACCATTTTCCAGGAAAATAGCTTTCTGAAAATATTTTCCAGAAACGTAACATTTTCTGCGAAACAAACGGAGCCTAAAAGCAAAGAAAAAAAGAAAATAAAAATTCAAAAAAAATTCAAAAATTCAAAAAAATATTAGTATATCATTAAAAATTTACAACATTAGCACTAGCTATGTCATGTAGGACGGTCGGCGTCTATGTCCACGTCGACGATTTCCGGTCAAAATTGGTCGGATGGACTCAATCGGTAAAATTAAAAGGTTTATGACTTAATTGGCAAAAGTGTAACAAATTTAGGAATTTTTTTTGACAATTTCGTCCCAACTTTTTAGTAGTTCCCAGCTCATTTCATACCCCAAAAGCCAAGAACCCGTGCTTGCCCCTACAGCTGCAACACCAAAATCAGAAAAGTGGCCATCTTTTTTAGTGACCAAAACTCAAAAAGCTTTTCTAAACCCCTATCTAACAAATAATCCTACATTTTGTAGCCAATTAAGCCGTCACCCCCATATCACGAGGAGGGCCCTCTTTGCTGATTTCGCTCACGCACGATTTTCTTTGGGAACGGTCGAGATTAACGTCAATCTCGAACCCGACACGAGAAACGAACAAACGAAACATGGAGGAAAGGGAAAGATTC